GTTAGGGGTCCTCTTGTGGATTTAGGGGTCCCTCTGTGGGGTTAGGGCTCCCCCAGCCCCCCATCTCACCTGCCATCAAAGCGATGCTTCAGGAAGTCGAACAGGGCTTTCTGCATCATGTCAGTGACCTTGGAAGGGGGGGAAAGGCAGGGAGGGAGGGACACCGTGGGGCCGGGATGCCCCTCCCCGTGCCCCCCGGGGTGCCCCCCTTCTGCTCACTCACCTCGTAGCCCTTCAGCGAGGGCCCCACGAGGATGATGGGGCGCATGGAGGGCACCACGTCGTAGGGGGGCACGTGCTCGGCCTGGGGACAGAGCGGGGGGTCAGCGGGGCCGAGGGGGGGACGTGGGGGACATGCCCAGCTTCACCCCTGCAGGGGCAGCTCCGGGGGGGCTGCAAGCCGGGGGCACCCCACCCTAAGCCCACCCCCCATCCCCTCCCGGGGGTCCTGACGCTACTCACCGACTTCTGCTTCTGCTTCGCTACGTCCCGAGGGGCCGCGGGGGCCGGGGGGGCGAGAGGAGACAAACAAGGCATGCGTGTTACCCGCGGGCACGGGGGGCACCGGGGGCGGGGGGGGGCGCGGGGACACGCGTGTCACCCGGGGGACACGTGTGTGACACCCGGGGGGTGCCCGAAGGACACGTGTGTGAGCCCCCGGGGGGGGTCCCAGGGACATGTGTGTGACCCAGAGGACACATGTGTGACCCAGGGGACACGTGTGTGACCCGGGGACATGTATGTGGCCTGGGGACACGTGTGTGACCTGGAGACACGTGTGTGACCCGGGGGGTGCCCAAAGGACACGTGTATGAGCTCCCAGGGGTGACCAAAAGACATACGTGCCACCCAGGGGACACGTGTGTGACCCCAGGGGGTGTCCCAGAGGCACGTGTGTGACCCAGAGGGTGCCCAAAGGACACATGTGTGACCCCCCCAAGGGTTCTCCAAGGACACGTGTGTGACCCCCCTGGGGGGGGCTTCACGGGCACATGTGTCACTCAGGAAGTGCCTCAAGGACACGTGTGACCCAGGGACACGTGTGACCCAGAGGACACATGTGTGACCCAGGGGGTGTCCCAGGGAACACGTGCGTGTTACACATGAAGCATCTCCCACTCAGGGTCAGATTTGGGGTTCCAGCGGGGGCTCTGCAGGATGTGGGGGGTGGCTGGGACCCCCTCAGACATCCCTGCAGACTCCCCCCTGCCCTGGGTTGTGGTTGAGCCCAAACCCCCCCAGCTTGTGCCCAGTTTGGGGGGAAGGAACAGTCCATTCCCAGTTGGGGGGGGGGAGGGATGAGACAGCGGCAGTGCTGGCACACACCATGC